AATTTTAGCTACAGCTTACCTCACATTTTGCCCTCTCATCAACTTTTTTCCGCTTTCTCTCCTTTTGTAGTTCTTCTCTGGACCTTTTAAAAAGGACAAATTGAAGGTTTTCTTAAAAAACTGAATCTAGAAAAGCGTATTAATTTACTATGTGAAACAAATTTTAAGAAGGTAAAATTACCTTTTGTTGATTTTGTGGGTTTTGCATTATGGATCGTGTGCCGAACACCAGTGCAAAAACTTTTCAAACTTCTTTCTTTCTTCTTCCTTTCCTCTTAACCCCGCATCTTTAAGGCATTTATACTAGTGATTATGAAAATAGCGCCCCCTTCATTTCCGGAATGCAATAGTCCCATTTCCAAATAAGGTATGGGACTGACGGAAAGGTCCGTCCCCGCCCCTTTCTGTTTGCTGCAGCGAGGTCCTTCTCCCCTAACCTGCTGAGCAGAAGAAGCACTTTGCAGCGTATTATTGTGTGAATCCACGGACTGTTTACATCAATGATCGAGAGATAACTTTGTGAAGGCATCTGAGCTTTGTAAGACATTACTGAATAAACTACATATAACCTGAGACCAGCGGCGTAGGAAGCGGGGGGGACGGGGGGGACATGTCCCCCCCAATATAAAAGCCAGGTGGATATGTCCCCCCCAAAAATTGTACCGCAAAATATTAGATTTTGACAATTTTTTAACTATCGTGCTTTTATTTTGAAGGCGCAGCATAGCGTTACGTCACTGTACTCCCCCTCCCCTCTGTGAACTGTTGAGTGTTTGAGCACTCAGAGGGAAACAGCGATACAGAAAGTCAGAAACTTGTGAATGAGGTAAAATGGTCTGTCGGGAATGCTGCTATGAATATTGCTTATTTATAACGTCTTGTTGTCAGTTCACTTTCATATATAGAAACTGAATCTTTTTGGTTTAGTCATCTTAGTCTTGTAGGAAGAGGATTAGGGCCACTGAAAAAAGTTAACTGATTTTTAATTTTTTTTAGTTTAACATGGGGGAAAAAGTCAGAATTCTGACTTTTCTCAGAATTCTGACTTTAATCTCAGAATTCTGACTTTTTTCTCAGATTTCTGACTTTAATCTCAGAAATCTGCCTTTTTTCTCAGAAATCTGACAGATGATTAATGTTTCTAATCAATTTACAGTTTTTTTTTGGTGGTGGTGGGGGGGGGGGGGGGGGGGGCGGGGGTACTATACAGATATATAAAAACAAGAAGGTCTAACTAAAAAACAACCAGAATATATGTTTAGAGTAAAGATTGACTACTTGTGTTTACACAAGCACACAATTTCAAATCTGCTGAGAAAATGTAAAATATACGTATAAAGAAATATAACAGGAAGTACTGCTAAAACAAACTAAATGTTAAATAATGTAGATATTGGTTTAAAAAATTCTTCAGATTTGGAAATTTGGAAGGAATACATAATTTTGAAATTAATCCACAAATCTGGTATAAAAAAAAAAATAAATAAAAAATAAAAGTTGCACTTTTTTACTTGAGGAATTTGTTGAATAACTTCATAATTATGAGTTTAACTAGTTGGAGGTAATGCTACACTTCTCTTCTTCCTGTCCTGCTCATAAAAGGTAAACATTATAAACCCACCATTAATTTTCTACACTATTTGGAAAACACAACACAAATGTAATATAACAAAAGTATGTCTAACAACAAACATGTTAGCATCAAGCCATAGCCATGTCTCTTTTAGAGACTAGATCTCTTGTTTTAATGACCTTCTGCTCCTCCATTAATGGGGGGACCCCTCGGGCACGTAAAAAGTTGCCTAATTCTGTCATTTTCCACCAATGTGTCACTGGCTCTCTCAAACAACTCACATCTTTGTCAGTGAAGCTGAGTGCTCCACATCTCTGCCTTCATGGTGCCCATCTACATTAAGATCCAAAATTCTGAGAAAAAAAGTCAGAATTCTGAGAAAAAAAAAGTCTTCATTCTGAAAATAAAAGTCAGAATTCTGACTTTTTTCCCGTATTAAACTGAAATAAAATGTAAAAATCACTTAACTTTTTTTTTTCCAGTGGCCCTAATCCTCTTCCGTAGTCTTGGGCTGATCACTCATCCAATATTTAACTGCTAACTTTCTCTAGACGTTTGCCACGCTAGCCAAAATTTTTTTTTTATATATATTTTTTTATATCTCATTTCAGTACAATGCCACCACCAACTAAGAGGCTGAAACAGCAGTAGGACTTACTCAGATTTTTTTAAAAGAGAAACGTCAGTGTGAGTAACAGTAACCTAACACAACTTGTGTTGAAATTAGCCCGGTCTGGGCGTGCGTTTTACGAGGATTTTTTATTTTTTGCATGGTTTTGATTCGCCGAAATGGACAGATGTTATACCTGCCGTGCTCCTGATCGTTAGTTAACCACAGGGAGAATTAATTCTAATTCTTAGCAGCGGCGGCCGCATTGGTCGTGCAGCGGACTGCTGCACAACCACTAATTAACCAACTAATTAACTTCTGCATCTTTATTTCCTCAAATAAACTGCTGGCTCCTCTTTTTACACTATAAACAGATTAACACAACATTGACAACTCTGTAGTTTTCTCTGTTCTGTACTGCAAATTGGAATTAAAGGCGCCATTTCTACCAAAGGTCTGGACAGACTGGCCACCTGTCTAGGGTGGACCCCGCACCAGCACCTCCCGACCCCACTAAGGGACAGGGTGTACAGAAAATGGAAGGATAGATGGATTTCTACCAAAGGTTCAGAATGCGTTTTTGAACCAGATGCTTCAAAGCGCCCTGCCCATAATTCTTCAACACACTGTCAGCTCCCTCTGTCAGTCAACCTATATAAATTCATTTTTGACCATTATTGCAAGTTTGACAAAATAAAACATATCAAACTTTGCACTTGTGTGGCCTACTGAATTGTTTTGATTTTCTAGTGCGTATGCGGACACTAAATATGCCAAGGGCTGAAGCCCTTGAAAGACATCTCCCTTTGCTTAATAAAAGACTCCAGTCATTTTGTTTGGTGATATGCTCACATCTTATGAACAAATGCATTATGTTAATTTTAAATGCATTATTTTTGCAAACACATTTATAAAGGAATAAAGTAAAAGATTAAATAGCCTTTTTTTAAAGTAGCGTACTTAAGATATGTTTCTGTTGAATATTTACGAATCTCAGATTTCCGACATGTCCCCCCCCCAATTGTAAACATATTCCTACGCCCTTGCCTGAGACGCTATAGCAGTCCAGTCACAAACCAGTTTATGCCAGCCGCCAAAGTTCAGCAATTTGGTGTCGATTCCAAGCCGCCTACGTCACCGCCAAGGACCTGTCGCCACTCACCGAGGTTGCTTGTTATGCCAAGTCCAATTAAAGTTCGCTCCAGACAGCTGCTGCTGTCCTCAGAGGTGTAGCCAGAACATTTTGGCCAGGCAATAACCAATGTACACTAAGGGGTGGCCGAAAGTGGATATTTTTAACCTCTGTGCTTTGTAAATAAAAGGTAGAATAGATACAATTCTTTCAGATTTGAGTTCTGTGGCAAACATCCATTATCATTACTTACCCTTTTATCAGTAATCATTCTGCATAAAATTGATATTTACAAGTACTAACATCTACATAAATTGATTATTTAATACGTTTTTTATTAAAATTGTTATTTATCTATGATTTCACTGAAGACTCCTAGATGGCTTTCATTGCTTTCAGATGGCCTTAAAACATTTCTTTTTAGCAAAACTTTTGGTCCCCTTTAGATGTGTTTTTTTTCTTTCTGTTTTTTAAAACAGCTTTTATTATTTTTTTTATATTACAGTATTTTTATTTTTTTATTTTTATGCATTTCTTTTTTAAATGCTTTTCTTTTTTTGTAGAACTTTGAGGTCTTTTGATGAAAAGTGCAGTATAAATCAAATGTATTATTATTATTATTGTACAATTGTTATCAGTGTTTTTGTTGTCAAGTAATTATGAATATATGAAAAAATATTAAGTAATATATGAAATTTTTTTATGTTTTTAATATTCCACTTGACAGTATTACTGCTGCCACCATCTGTATTAGAGGGGGGGAAAATGGTAGGGGTAGCCAATGATTGGCTAAGGGTGGCCATGGCGACTCCTGGCCCCCCATCTAGCTCCACCCCTGGCTGTCCTATGCTAAGCTCACCTGGAGTAGCTATTTAGCTTAGCTAGTTGCCAACTAGGTTGCTAGCGGCTGTACTTATAAAGATAATTATGGGCCAGATAACCTTAGTTGTCAACATTAAGCGCTGGATCAGCTGCAGCAGCAGCTGGTGCAATAGTGGCCAGTCCTGGGGACTCCTCTGAAGATGAGCACCGACGATTTGAGATCTCAAAGTATTCAAGGTGGAACAAGTGCCCCCTTGTGGATGCTTACCGTTATGACTGGTTCACGCTCTTAAATCCCTGCCTATAGCTAAACAAAAATTAACCTAATTTGAAAGACAATCTGTCAACTTAATGAGAACTTACTTCTCCATGTGTTTCATTATTCTTAAAAGTTTATCTTGTACTGAATTGGCTCTAGAAATACAAGGTGAGCTTGCTCTAAAAAGTAGAGTTAACACCAACTCTTTATTCATGTAGATGTAGTGAGTTCTTTCAGTTAAGGAAGGGTGTGAGTCTGACGAGATGGGATAAGGTGGGGTAAAAAAATGTGGGAGAAACCTGAAGACATATCTGCAGATCTGATGCAAATGTGATTAATTAATGGCAGCCCTGCTACTCAGCTGTGATCTCCCCCCTTCAGTAAATGGAGGTTTAATCAACCATCCTAGTAAAATCCTGAAAAAAATCTGAGTCAACTAAACCACTGAGCGTTACAAGGCCCTCATTTTTCTACATAGACCATATTTCAAGGAACATGAATTCTTTGTCAGCATGTGTTCAGTGTATAATTACGCTGGATGTCAACTAGCATTGAGTGTACAGAAGTAAAGGTAATTATAGATACAAGCATCATAGAGCAGATGTGAGGTTTACAGATTTTTTATTTCAATCTGTAAATCACAGCAGGATGCAGCTTTCACAGCTTTCTATTTTGCCATCGTACACTCCCTCCTGGAGAGTTGAAGTAGGTGCACAAGACATCCCTGGCAGCTGTGGCTTCAGCCGATGTGCGTCGTCCAGCCATATTGCCAACAGGCCGTATCCTACGTCCATCCTCCTGGCCCTCACCCAGCAGCTGCTGGTTCTCCCTTCTACTCAGCGAGAAGTTCTGGAGGAGGCAAGCTGCCATCACCACGGAGTCCACATTCTGAGGGAGAAGGTTTATCTTGTTGTGAAGCGTTCTCCACCTTGACACCAGAATACCAAAGGCATTTTAATCTACCATCCCAGCTTGAATGCTCAAACAAAATGCTTAGTAGTTATCCGGGAATCCTGTTTAGACTTTTTTTCCCTCAAGATGAATTGATAATTGTTTTAAAATCAAATTGCAGGCCTCTGAATTGCAATTGTATCCTGAAGTGCCCAGATATTCCCACCCCTAATATATGCATGAATAACTGGGACATATAATATGGAATATTGCTATATCTCACCGTAAGGACATGGAAAACAGCCTCACTGCTTAAGCCCAGCTTCTTAGTGGTTAAGCCTAGTGCCAGAGACCCCTGAGTCCGCCCTGTGCTGTCCAGATACCCCTGAGCACACTAATAAAAGACTCTCAGAAGTAAACCTCACCGGTCACTCCAAGGCCCCTCAGCGGGCGCTCCAAGCCTCCTCTGAGGCTGTTCCGGAGACGGCGGCCCCCAAGGCTGCTGCTCCTTCGTCGCCGGCCTCCTCCAGAGGCCCTCCTTCACCGCCAGCCTCCTCCAAAGGCCCTCCTTCGTCGAAGACGACGTCGCCGCCGGCCTCCCCCAGAGGCCTTCCTTCGTCTGGGATCCGCCCTTAAGTGGGGGCACTGTCATGGTCTTGGTTCTGTTGTTCTTTACTTTGCTCCTTGTTTTCTAGTTTTATTGCTTTAATTCCAGTTTTGTTGTAATTTCTAGATTTATGTTAGTTCTCATGTTTTTCTGTTGTCCTCTATTGCAGGGGTTCTTAACCTTTTCGACCTTGAGAACCAATTTTTATAGTACAAAGTGGCCCGGGGCCCATTATATATTAACACTGTACAGTTTGATTTGTATTCAATAATAAACCAAATCCACTTATTGTTTAACAAGCAAAAAAATTGTCTAATAAAATGACATGATAAAAGGGGATCATCACAAAAACTTTTATTAAACGTTTACATAAACCTGCACACATACATCAAGACACCGAACAGGCTGATAATTCATGGACCAAATCAAGCTGTGATAAGAAAAAATTTCAAGGATCAATTCAGGCTTTTTAATCATAATAAAAAAAGACCAGTAGTAGGATTTTTACTTTAAATTAATAAAATAAATTATATATATATATATATATATATATATATATATATATATATATAAGTATAAATAAATCATGAAATCAATAAAAAGGGGCGATAAAATAAATGCATTCAAATAATATAAATCTATAAATATAAATAAACTAAATGAAATTAAAGTGCAAATGAAACTATAGCCTTATAATCTGCAAAGCCATTGTAAAATTGCTTCAGCAGTCTCCATTTTTGCATGGCAGAACCAGAAGAATCTTTATATCTGTGACAAATGAACAATGACACAAATAATAACGTATCACAAGATTGTTTTAAGAGTAAGTTGATGGTTGATGGTATCAGGTTGCCAGATCCACACAGCAAAAGCCTGAAGGGACGGAGCGAGTCTGTGAAATGCTGGCCAAGTGTTCCGTACAGCGACATACAGCTGCCTTATAAACACGGCAAGCCAGTACAGACGAGAGAGCATGGAAGCATGAAACCACTGGACGGCTACAATTATTTTATATCGGGATAAAGGCTCCAACATTGTTCACTACGGATTATTTTGGTGTTTTTGTCTTGTTAAAATGGGTGGGGGTCTCTGCGACATTGCAGCGTAAACATGAAGTACTAGCGCCCGTGAACGGGGGCGTAATGGAGCCGTTGTCTGGAGCAGCAGCCGCTTCTCCTGCCTGTGTAGCGATCGCCACCTCCCCTCCACCGCTATTTAAGTAGAACAATGACTAGAGCAGAATTAAGTTGTATTTACCGGAGATGAAGTGTAGACTGCAAATTCTGTCGTAGTATGATGGCTCCTCCAGTCCATTGGGAGTGTCTGCCTGCGCTCTTTTCATTAAAAATATCAATTTCTGTCCTCGTCCTTCCTCCTTCGGTAAACGACAGAAACGTACATCCAACAATTTGGAATGCCTCTCTGTGCAACCGGGAGCACAACAAGTCGTAGGCATTGTTAAGATTCCAAAAATACACTAACTAAAAGTACTGTCTACTTTGCTGTGAAGTAGACAGTCTAATTCTCTGTGTATTGGCGCTTTTTAAACAACCGAGTGATGCATTACCGCCACCACATGGTCAAAAGCTGCACGCAGTCCCACGGCCCTTGCGGCCCACAGGTGCAAAACTGAAAGATTTTTGCGGCCCACAAGGGGGCGCTGGCGGCCCAACTTTTGGCCGCAGCCCTATGGTTAAGAATCACTGCTCTACTGCCCTCTTGTGTGTGTATGTTCCTTTCCCCTTGGCTCCCTCATTGTCTCCTCTCACACCTGCTCCTTGTCTGCTCGTTAGCCCTCCCTTTGTCTCTCTCTGCTATATATGCTCTCCCTCTGCTCTCACTCTTTGTTGGTTCCTTGTCTTTGCTGTCTTCCCATGCTGTGGTCTATGTTCCTCTACTCTCCCTGGCTCCTTGTGTTTGGTTTTCCCCAGATGTCTCCATAGTTCTGGTTTGCTTTTCATTATTAGTTGGATTTTTGGATTCCTGCCTTTGTTTACTGTTTTTGCCCAATTAAAACTCCCAGAAATCTCCTCAGCCTCTCTGCCTCTGCACTTGGGTCCTCCAAACCAATACTAAACCCTGACACTTAGGTGGCGGGATGCTGGACGGGAAGAGGATTGGCAGGGCTTGGAACACAGCTGTGACATGCTCCAGTGTTTTAAGGGAAGAGGCACAAGACAAGGTGGTAATTCAATTCAATTCAGTTTATTTATATAGCGCCAAATTCACAACACATGTCATCTCAAGGCACTTTATAGTTCAACCAGATCATCCAGTCAAATTAGTTTTTATCTAAGGAAAACCAGTTGATTGCATCGACTCATTGACTCAAATGCAATCCCTCACACTAAGCATGCTTGTAGCGACAGTGGAGAGGAAAAACTCCCTTTAAACAGGAAGAAACCTCCAGCAGAACCAGGCTCAGTGTGAGCGGCCATCTGCCGCGGCCGACTGGGGTTCAAGGAGACAGAAGCAGAGATAATAAAAGCAGCTGTAAAAGGCGGCCCCGTCCAGGAAACACACAGCCAGGCAGACTAGCTCCGAGCCAGCTCCCATGCCAGAGGACGAAGAGAGCACATCCACTCAGTCACGGTCAGAGAAACAGGACCACACTGGAAAACAGGCCGATCTCCAGCATCTATAAACAAGGGTGTTGATGGAAGCAGCACAGCTGATGTTTCTTTCCAGGATGGAGTCACAGCCAAACAGGAACAGACAAGGTATCATAAATAACGTATCATGACACATGACCAAATGAACAAGTCAATGTATTGTGACTTTACCTCCATTCAAAGTTTTAGGAGGCTTCATTTCTTTTTTCATCACCCCATAAAACTGGACCTTTGAATAGAAGGTTTTCCATCTGCTCTTCATCTCAGAGATGTACTTGGAGTTGTTTGGTTGGATGATTCGCTGTAGCTCATCCAGCACCTGAAGAATAGAAAATTCCCCAAAAAATAATTATGTTATGCTAGTCCTTATCAAACATTCTTCAAAAAAGATCTAGAATGTCTTAGCTATATAAACTTTATGTCAATTATGTCGTGCTAAAATAAGTCCCTGGAAGAGCTGAAAATGTGACAGGAGCAGATAATAGGACTGAATTGGACATTACTTACGTGATCCAGTTCTTGGAAACAGGGGAACGCCTCTAGAATCTTTGTTGGTCTTTCTTGCCCCTTTAAGAGGTCTTGCTTCTTTAAGACCTCAGAAGTGATGAAGCGTCTTCGAGACTCAAATTCCTTGGTCAGCAAATGAGTTATTGCAGCTTTGTTTGTATTTTTTGGACTTGAACATTTCTTGGAGGGTCTTGTAGTGTCTTGCTTGGGTTTTTAGGCTGTCCATGAAGTCAAGTGAACCAGCTGTAGACACCAGAGGGAAGTTATGGGGGAAAGGGGAAATGAGATTTTCAGTTGTCAGTATAATGAAACAAAAGGAATCAATTAATGTTCATACTTAATATAAAAGATAAGCACAACAATAGAATATACTTTTGGTTGAAATGTCTGAACTGACTTCCACATCTTTTCGATGTTTCTTCGAAGGAGGATCTTTGTCCTTCCTTGGACTTCTGACATTTGAGAGTCTCTTCATGAGCCATGAGACATGATAAATTAAACTAGAAATAAAAAAATCGCATTAAATCGCAATATTAAGATAAAAAATCCCAATTAGATTATTTTCCAAAATCGTTCAGCCCTAATATGAATTAACTCAAAATTATTTTTAGTACAATACATACATGTTTCCTCACTGCTGTCTTGGCTCTGCAGTGGGGTGCTTGTTCTAGTTGACAGATCTAGTAATGGGCTTCCCTTGGAACTAACAGGTGACCGTTCCAGAATAATGCTGGATCCACTGGATTCTCCATCACAATCAGTGGTTGAAATGTCTGAACTGACTTCCACATCTTTTCGATGTTTCTTCGAAGGAGGAACTTTGTCCTTCCTTGGACTTCTGACATTTGAGAGTCTCTTCATGAGCTTTTTAGCAACATGCTCCTGTCAGGAATACATAGTAAAAATTAAGAAATGAAAGGAGACTGAAGCTTTCTTATACTGTAATTACAGTTTTCAGCAAAGTCTAGCTCCATTTTAAACTTGTGTTAGGATTTAGTACTGCATGAACAATATGTGTCAACATCTTACAGTTAACGACATACAATCAACAAGTAATAGTGACAAAAATATACTCACCCACTCACTCTTTGTAGACCTATCTTTGATCATTGGATAGTAATCCACCAATCGTTTTGCCATGGCATCCACCTCATGTTTGGCGGGGTATCTGCAGTCCTCTGTGGCTCTCGCAATAGAAATCATATTAGTCATAGTGTTTCTTATGAGTCGGCAGAAGAGCTCCTTGGATAAGGCCACGCTGTGCTCGGTTACTAGCCGTTTCTGCTCGAAGTAGGAGCATCGCACATGTTCAAGCTCACTATCTGTGAAGACTGTATTCTGGGTTGGACATAGTCACAAATTTAGAAGGAGTGGCCTCCTCTTTTGATAGGTCGCTGCCTCCAGTCGGGGATGACTGCTGAATTTCTGGAGCGTTATCTACCTACAATACATTTAGACAAACAATTTATTAATTAACTATCTTTATGTGGATAAAAACACTTTACTGTTTAAAGGGCCTCAAAGCAGAAATGTCTAAAATAAGCTAATTAATATTTCTGTGATATTGGAAAATGTGTTGTACAGTAGAACAGTTCTTACCTTTTGGTCTTTATTCACAATAAGCCAAATAGCCTGGCGCCTCAAGACATTTTCAGGACCAGGAAACAAATCTTTGATGTCTTCACGGGAAAGTGAAGATAATAAGTCTTCTCTGATATTAGCAGCTGCAATCAATATAGACAAGTTACAGTGAGTACCATTCTACATATATAAATAAATACATATATACATATACATATATATATATATATATATGTATATATATATATATATATATATGTATGTATATATATATATATACATACATATATATACGGTATATATATATGTATGTATATATATATACATACATATATATATACATAATACATACGTATACATATATATATGTATATATGTATATATATATATGTATACGTATGTATTATGTATATATATATATATATATTATTACATTAGGGATGGAACGGTTTATGAAAACCGTGGGAACCGTTCGGTTCGACTGTTTCGGTTCGGTTCGCGTGTGTTTCGTTCGGTTCATGCGCTGCTCCATTTTCTCATAGGCGAAGAGTTTACACTCCAGAGCAGAAGGTGGCGGTACTGCGACCAAAGCCAACCACCAGTAGTAAACAAGAAGAAGAAGAAGAAGCGAAGCCGCAGAAAAAAATCAGTTGTTGTGGAGAATTGTGTGGGTATGGCGAGGGAAAGAACAGGAGTTGGAAGACGCGCCAGCAGCACTTTATAGGTCTGCTGTATGGGACCACTTTGCATTTAGAGTGACCTACGATGACGACGGAAAGAAAGTTGTGGATAAAAGTTCAACAGTGTGCAAGCATTGTGCAACACGTTTTGTTTATGCTAACATCAACATGACCAACATGTCATGCTAACCCCGAAATCCCTCATACTCCGTCAGCAACCCCCGCTCCGCCCCGCTGCGCTCCAGACCGCCTGCTCAAAGCAAAGCCTACAGCCTCCACTGCGGCTCCCGTCCGCTCTGCTCTGAGTTCCTTGTAGATCGTAGAGGGCATGCGCGAGATGATTACATTCAAAGCAGCAAAACGTACGGAAATGATCCAGGGTTTCCGCGGATAATTAAAAATAATTACAATTCATACATTTTTTTAGATTTTTTTATTAATTTCATTTAAAAAATTTCATTCATTTGTATCATTTTTATTAATTTTTTTATTTTTCGGTGTAACAATAAACCGAATATACCGAACCGAACCGAAAACCGTGACCACAAAACCATGAACCGTACCGAACCGTGGATCTTGTGAATCGTTCCACCCCTAATATACAAAATACATACATATACATACATGTTTTTGTTTTGTGATTGTTTCTTCTTTTTATGTATTAAAATCACTCCAATCGGAATGATGAAACAGCATATCAGCAATGAATGAATCAATAGCAGTCATGCTGATGCTTAGGATCCTACTTCATAAACCATAATCATTGCTACATTGTGATTGAGAATGCAGTCGAGTCACTTTCTTTTGTTTATGAGAATTGCAGTTTTTGTTCATCATAGTTCTTGTATATTGTGTAAAGACCAGCATGCTGTCAGTTTAACAGGTTAGAATTGAAGCAGCAGGTTCAGATGGCCTGCACCAAAATAAACATCTTTGTTTGTTGTTCTTGTTTCTTGGCATTCTTAAATCAAGGAGTTGTACAATTGGTCTTACTATTAAAATAAGGGAAATAATCTTGTTGCTCCACTGGCTTTTATTGTAAAACATTGCATTATCTTGTTACTGGTTCATTCTAGCTCAAAATTAGCTAGCCTATATTATTAAGAAAAAGTTAGTTATATTTCTGAAATTTAGATTATTTTTCTAATGCAAAACATGCTTGTCAAGATTTATTTTCTTTTTGGACAAAAAACAAGACATATTTCCTTGATACAAGACTTTTTTACTTTCTTAAAATTCCCTTTTTTGCAGTGTATGCCCTGCACCTCACTTACCCAAAATGTATTTCCACACTTCTGTCAGTAATGCCAACCGAAATTCTCCATGATTCCATTCATGGGCAAGATTTGACCCTTTTGTACAGCAACTGCAAAGTTATTTTTAATGTATGTAAGTCATAATTGTAGTATGCTGCTACAATAGCTGATACATTCCGTTATTTTAATAAATGTTGAATTAAAAGATCGTATTGCAAAGTTAATAAAACATTAAGAAGTAGAATGTTTTGGTGTCTTGATTTAAGACAGTCACTTATTTTTATAAAGCTATTTCAAGAAATTTAGTCTTATTTTAAGTGCTTTTATAGCTATTATTAATCCCAGATTAAGGTGTCATTTCTAAAAGTTAACTAGTTAAGGGATCAAAATTCGAATTTTAAGTAATTTAATCTTAAATAACTGGGTTTTCATTGCTGCAATTTACTTAAATTAAGATTTTTTTGTCTAGTTTTAAGGCCCATTTAAGTCCGTCAGAGGCAAGAACATTACGCTTATTTTAAGATTTCTTGTCAAATAAAAATTGCTTACCCCATTGGCAGATTTTTTTGCGAAACTAGATAAAATTATGGAATTTCAGAATATTTTGCTTATTTTTAGTAGGTCTGTTTTTGCAGTGTGCTTCGTGTACCCAACCGTGACTAACAACCATATCATTCCAACGTGCGCTTCAGCTGTGCCTATATTTCATTTATCACCGTGTTCCACTTTATAAACTTTTATCAAGTGTCACAGGCTTTAAATCAGTGGTCTCCAACCCTGGTCCTCAAGATCTACTGTCCTACAGATTTTAGATGCATCCCTGCTTCAACACAGCTGAATCAAATGATTGATTACCTTTTCAAGCCATTCATTTGATTCAGCTATGTTGAAGCAGGGATGCATCTAAAATCTGTAGGACAGTAGATCTTCAGGACCAGGGTTGGAGACCACTGCTTTAAATCCACCTGCTGCGCATCTGAAAAAGCCAAGGATTGATCTTCTGATCACTGAACAACTGACCCTTAATATAAAGTTTGTCAACTGCTACTGTAGCTCTGACACCTTCAGTGATGTAGTTCTTCCTGATTGGGAATAGCACTCGCCTACGATCCAGGATTTCCTTTGGAGACTGGTCATTAACATTGAAATCCATTCCTCTCTGCTCTCTGCCCCGATTTCTGACCTGCTCTTTTTGCTTATAGTGTTCAAATTTAGCCAAGATTGGTCTAGGATGGGTTTTATCAAGCTTATGAAAGTGGATGTTTTTTACCTGATCCGCCAGGATTTCCAGCTTCTTCTGGAGGAACTCTGGGATTGTCACCTCGGGATCCTCCTCCTGCTGCTCCGGAATGCCTGCAAAGACAAAGTTGTCTCTCATGCTTCGCGACTGAATGTCCTGAATGGTTTATTTCATCTTCTTATTTTCACCATACAGTTGGATCATCCCCTCGGTGAGCTTCATGACTTCCCCCCTCAGCGCTTTGTTCGTGGCGGTAATAGAGACTAGATGCCCTTGGCTGTATTCCTCCGACTCTCTCAGGGCTTGAACCTCTTTATGTAGGACTTCTAACAAGGCGAGACAGGCATCCAGGCTGGTTACCTTTTGGTTGATGGATTTCTGGACGTCGCTGTAGCTCCTGTCTGGAGACACAGTAGAAGAAGCACTGGTTGAGCTAGAACAGGAGCGTTTGGTTGAAGGTGTGTTTGTGGATGTGGGGTTTCTAGGCTTCCCCATTACGATGTTGTTGAAACACTCACCCAGCTAGCTCTACAGGTTCGTCAAGGTCTCCTTGTCCAGTTTGTTTCCTCGTAAAATACGAGACAATTGTTAATGTTTAAACCTTACTTTGTTTAATTTTCAATTATTGGCTTGTACTTACCTCAGTGGATTTGATATGAACTACGTGTATGCCGCCATTTTACTTACGCACAGCTCTCCTGAGATCTCAGCCGCTCGTTCCCCAACTGAATTACAAGCATATTTGGTTTAACACATTTGTTTCCATGTCTTATGATGCTAACATGACAAAATTATTTAAGAGTATCTAAATATAATATGCTTAAATGGATGAATAAGATGCACTATGATTATTTTATGTTCAGTGTATTCACATGATATACAAAGAACTTTTCAATACTGTTATTCTAAACACAGAACTGTGTTACTTTTTGGAGGCCAAATTACTCACCCCTTTTTGATGGTGGAAACAGCTAGTTGATTGATGAGCAACAGGGCACTTTCCAAACACCATTCAAAGGATGAATGACTTTTAGTTTGGTTTGCAGGTCCTTTACGTCCCTTTTTAATAACACTTGATCTCAATCCTCTCGCAGATACTCTCCTCGAGCTCTACGAAGCTCATAACAGAGCAGAGCAGGACGGAAGGAATGCAGGAGACTGTTGGCCTTGCTTTACGCAGGTTTATCCACTGCAGATGGAGACTGAGGAGGAGGTTTTGCAGGCAGGTTGTCAGGTTTCTGTTATGTTTTTCTTTTCAGTATTCAGTCTTGCTTTTCTCCTTGTTTTATAGTCCCAGTAATTTAACATTGTGGTATTTCCAGTCTTCCAGCTTCTCTTTAGTTGCTCTCTGCTGCCCTCTTATGTTCTCCTTCTTCCCTAGCTCTTTCCCTCTTGTTCTGTGCACACCTGCTCCCAGTTTCCTCATTAGCCCCCTTTTTGTCTCAGCCTCCACGGTTTCTGGTTCGTTTTGACTAGTTTTTTATGTTTGATTCTTTTGGATTTTTGGACTCCTGATTTCATGCTTGTTTGGACTTTGTTTTTATTATTGGATTTTTGGATAACCTGCCTTTGTTTTCAGTTTCCCTTTTTAATTAAATCAATGAAATTCACCTCTGCCTTCCTGCCTCTGCTTTTGGGTCAACACTCTATAACCAAATCCTGACACAGGTTTAGACTCTGCAGATGGAGACTGATGAGGAGGTTTTGGGGGGTAAACTGCCTCGCCTCTGGCCCCGCAGCCGGCCCCCAGACGCTCTGCCTCGCCTCTGGCCCCGCGGCCGGCCCCCAGATGCTCTGCCTCGCCTCCGGCCCCCAGACGCTCTGCCTCGCCTCCGGCCCCCAGACGCTCTGCCTCGCCTCCGGCCCCCAGACGCTCTGCCTCGCCTCCGGCCCCCAGACGCTCTGCCTTGCCTCCGGCCCCCAGACGCTCTGCCTCGCCTCCGGCCCCCAGACGCTCTGCCTTGCCTCCGGCCCCCAGACGCTCTGCCTCGCCTCTGGCCCCGCGGCCGGCCCCCAGACGCTCTGCCTCGCCTCCGGCCCCCAGACGCTCTGCCTTGCCTCCGGCCCCCAGATGCTCTGCCTCGCCTCCGGCCCCCAGACGCTCTGCCTCGCCTCCGGCCCCCAGACGCTCTGCCAAGCCTCCGGCCCCCAGACACTCTGCCTCGCCTTTGGCCCCGCAGCCCGCCCCCAGACGCTCTGCCTCGCCTCCGGCCCCGCGGCCGGCCCCCAGACGCTCTGCCTCGCCTCTGGCCCCCAGATGCTCTGCCTTGGCTCCGGCCCCAGGATGCTCTGCCTCGCCTCTGGCCCCGCGGCCGGCCCCCAGATGCTCTGCCTCGCCTCCGGCCCCCAGATGCTCTGCCTTGCCTCCGGCCCCCAGACGCTCTGCCTCGCCTCCGGCCCCCAGATGCTCTGCCAAGCCTCCGGCCCCCAGACGCTCTGCCTCGCCTTTGGCCCCGCAGCCCGCCCCCAGACGCTCTGCCTTGCCTCCGGCCCCCAGACGCTCTGCGTTGTCTCCGGCCCCCAGATGCTCTGCCTCGCCTCCGGCCCCACGGCCGGCCCCCAGACGCTCTTCCTTGCCTCCGGCCCAGCGACCCGCCTCCAGAGACTTTCTTCGGCCTTCGCCCACCCTAGGTGGGTTGTTTTTTGTTGTGTTCTGGACTCCTTGCCCTCCTTGCCTGGTTCCCCCTCCGCCCACCCTGGGTGGGTTGTTTTTTGTTTTTCATTGACTTTTTTTTTGGCATCTGGAGTCCGCCCTTGAGTGGGGGGTCCTGTCAGGTTTCTGTTATGTTTTTCTTTTCAGTATTCAGTCTTGCTTTTCTCCTTGTTTTATAGTCCTAGTAATTTAACATTGTGTTGTTATTTCCAGTCTTCCAGGTTTCTCTTTTGTTGCTCTCTCCTGCCCTCTTATGTTCTCCTTCTTCCCTAGCTCTTTCCCTCTTGTTCTGAGCACACCTGCTCCCAGTTTCCTCATTAGCCCCTCTTTGTCTCAGTCTCCTTTAAAAGCCCTCTCTCTTCAGTTCCCCTTTGCTGGGTCCTCGTCAAACACTGCCAAACTTTGTCAAACTTCCTCCAACTCCGTCTCCCTGAGTCTTCCTCGTTGTGACAGTGATTCCCCTGATGTCTCCACGGTTTCTGGTTCGTTTTGACTAGTTTTTTATGTTTGATTCTTTTGGATTTTTGGACTCCTGATTTCATGCTTGTTTGGACTTCGTTTTCATTATTGTATTTTTGGATAACCTGCCTTTGTTTTCAGGTTCCCTTTTTAATTAAATCAATGAAATTCACCTCTGCCTTCCTGCCTCTGCTTTTGGGTCAACACTCTATAACCAAATCCTGACACAGGTTTAGACTCTGCAGATGGAGACTGAGGAGGAGGTTTTGCTGGGAGTTTTAAAAGCTGCAGATGGAGACTGAGGGGGAAGTTTTTTTGGCAGATTTAAACTCTGCAGATGGAGGCTGAGGTGGATGTCTTCCTGGCAGGTTTAAAATCTGCAGATGGGGATGGAGGTTTTGATGGCAGTTTTAACTCTGCAGATGGAGACTGAGGTGGAAGTTTTGCAGGCAGGTTTAAACTCTGCAGATGGAGACTGATGAGGAGGTTTTGCAGGCAGGTTTAAACTCTGCAGATGGAGACTGATGAGGAGGTTTTGGGGGGTAAACTTAAGGTTCGGAGATGGAGACTGAGGTTGAGGTCAACTCAGCAGTTTCTTTTTTACTTTAATCCATAACCGATTTTGATTGATCCAAAGAGGTTTGATTTAAGTTATCAAGCTTTAGGCTGAACTTTTAGAGAATTATATAAAAATGTGTTGGTTTCATTGTCAGTATTGTCAGTCAGGTTTTGAGTTTTTGTCTTGGAACTTTGTTTTTTTTTTACTCATCCAAGATGTAAAGAGGAGGATATTTCCCACAGCCATAGGTGATGTTTTCAATAATCAGTCCATTTTGGCTGGCTAACGATGTAATAGAGGGCTTGTTCATCCTTTCCCAGAGCTTTTGCTTGATACCTCGCCCTAAGTTGAGAGTGTAAGGTCGCCTTCGACCATTTTTGTACCTGTGAAAAGCAGACATTTATAAAATGACAACAGATCGGCATGGGTTTAACAATTTTAAAATCTTTAAAACTAAGTGTTGAGGTCCCAACTTCCAACATCAATATAAATTCACCTCAGCATGTCATCAACCACTTCATGATGAATCTGCTGGTACTCCTCTACTGTGTAGGTGTGAATCATCAAGGGCTCATTGTCCTGCACAGCAGCAGTGGACGACTGGTTGAGGATTGGCATATGACAGACTGCTGGGAGGTCTGCAGGGTGGATGGTGGCCCCAGGCTTAGAAATCAGCCTTTCAACCTGAGTGGTGCATTGAGCAGGAGCTGAGGTCACAACAAGAGGTTGGTTGGGATGAGCTGCCATTGAACGCCTCCTCTTCTGGGGAGGCGTGGCAGAGTCAGGAGAATGATGGCGTTTTCTAGATACTTTAGGGGCCTGGAGAAGATAAGAAAGTTTGGAGTAGAACCTACTTGGAAGTTCATTTCACAAAAACCAAACAGCAAATATTTACTGTTATATAAAATTTATCAGTAGCAGTTTTTAGTGTGTGTTTAAAGATGAGAAAAAGATTTTACCTGCTCATCTTGGCAGCATGGACATTCTCTCTTAGTCCTGCCCGCTGAAGCTCTCACTGCTCTCTGAATACAATAAAGATTGACAGGAAGACCACATGATAAAACACGCATTAGACTGAGGCTGTGATTATATTTAGACCAAAAGAGATTTTGTGATATTATTGCGATACACCTTGCGAGTCTGTCTCGCAAGGTGCATTGATGGAGTCAGTTAATTAAAACTGGTCGGCTGACAACTCTATTGCATTATGAGGAAACAAGTCACAAAACTCTTAGATCATTCTTTTGGCAGCTCTACAGGCAAACAGTAGAAACAAGCAAGAAAAAAACTTTAAAGCAATGCAAGAATTTATTATGTAACACTATTGATTCAAATGGTGCTGAAGATGGCATCTAATTTTTGTTTTAAAGCAATGATAAACTCGAGCTAACACCAAAGTTTTTTTTTTTTTTTTTTTACATTATCTTGACAACATTTAATATTTTCCTGCTCAAAATCTAAGATTATCAAGGTTCACTTGGATTATTTCTTTACAAAACCCAGATTACATAAAAATACCTTCAACATTACATCACATTAAAATCTATTTTCCTTTTTCCTTTCAATATTTAAAATCGCAAGACAAGTTTTCATTAGATGTTTTGGTGCTTCTACCATCTTTCTGTTTTCTTGGTTTAGAGACAAGATGAAAACAGCAACAGGCTGGTGTAATCTCAATTACAAAAAAAATGCTGCACAGTTTGATAAAAAAAATAAAAATAAAGCCTGTTACTGACCACCTTTAAAATGTAATGAAATAATCTGCTTTTAAACACACCAACTATCAAAGTGAAGCAGCAAACACTTTAGAACTGTTTATTGGCATTTTAATTCGTAATAATTTTACTTATGTTATAAAAAATAAAAATAGTTACCGTATCTTCACGATCAAAAGGCGCACCGTACTAAAAGGCGCAGTCTCAGTTATGTGTGCCATTACTGTATTTAACACACACATAAGGCGCACCAGACTATAGGGCACGGGTTTTATACACAGGTACAAATCCTTTACTACGTTTAAATACCTCTACTGCATATTTAAAACTGGAGCGGGAGCAAAACTAAGTACGTTTGTGCTTTATTCATATATTTATTACAAAGTATTAATCAAACCCATCGAAGTCATCATCCTCTGTTTCTGCATTAAACAGCTGCGCTAAATCAGACATGCCAATTTCCCCTTCTTCGCTGTCAGAGTCACTTTCCGTGCCGCGCGGCTCCTTGGAAATAATGCCGGCTTTTGCGAAAGCTCGAACAACAATGCCAGCAGACACGTTAGCCCAAGCATCTACAATCCATCCGCAAACTGTGGCATAACTTGCCCTACGCTGCCTTCCACTTTTCGTGAAACTGTGGTCTCCGTCGTTCATCCACCGCTCCCACGCCGCTCGCAGCCTTACTTTGAACGGCCGGTTCACACCGATGTCGAGCGGTTGAAGTTCCTTTGTCAGACCTCCCGGAATAACTGCGAGCACAGCGTTCATTTCTTTCACCTTGTTTTTCACATCGGCTGTGAGATGGGCACGCATGGAGTCCCAGATTAACAGCGATGGTGATGCGTGGAAAAAACCACCTGGTCTCCCCAGTAGGGTGGCCATTTCTATAGCACCAAAAAGGAGGACATTGTGCGGCATATCAATAAATTACTAAGGTGTACATAAGAATCGGGTAAAGTCACATTTATAGCACAATTCTTAGTAATTTAAAGAGGATGCTTGTGTAGCTGAATAGAACAAAATATTAAAGAAATGTAAAAAAGAATTGGTTCCCAGCATTTGTATTTATTTACTACATTGTGGTGTTTAAAAAGTGACAAATTTTTAACACAATTAATTTGCGCAGAACTGCTGCAATTGATCATAAAGCAGTTGTTTGGAAAAGAAGCTCGAGAAAGAGCTAGAGAATAGGACGATGCAAACTGCAAAAAGTGGCTGGAAAAGAGGAATTCATGACATGGCTGCAGCCTGTCGAGAGTAAAGATGATTTCACCATGTTCTCTATCTATCCATATCTATATATACACTATATTGCCAAAAGTATTTGCTCACCCATCCAAATTATTGGAATCAGGTGTTCCAATCACTTCCATGGCCACAGGTGTATAAATTCAAGCACCTAGGCATGCAGACTGTTTTTACAAACATTTGTGGAAGAATGGGTCGCTCTCAGGAGCTCAGTGAATTCCAGCGTGGAACTGTGATAGGATGCCACCTGTGCAACAAATCCAGTCGTGAAATTTCCTCGCTCCTAAATATTCCACAGTCAACTGTCAGCTGTATTATAAGAAAATGGAAGTGTTTGGGAACGACAGCAACTCAGCCACGAAGTGGTAGGCCACGTAAACTGACGGAGCGGGGTCAGCGGATGCTGACGCGCATAGTGCGAAGAGGTCGCCAACTTTCTGCAGAGTCAATCACTACAGACCTCCAAACTTCATGTGGCCTTCAAAATTGGCTCAAGAACAGTGCGCAGAGAGCTTCATGGAATGGGTTTCCATGGTCGAGCAGCTGCATCCAAGCCATACATCACCAAGTGCAATGCAAAGCGTCGGATGCGGTGGTGTAAAGCACGCCGCCACTGGACTCTAGAGCAGTGGAGACGCGTTCTCTGGAGTGACGAATCGCGCTTCTCCATCTGGCAATCTGATGGACGGGTCTGGCTTTGGCGGTTGCCAGGAGAACGGTACTTGTCTGACTGCATTGTGCCAAGTGTAAAGTTTGGTGGAGGGGGGATTATGGTGTGGGGTTGTTTTTCAGGAGCTGGGCTTGGCCCCTTAGTTCCAGTGAAAGGAACTCTGAATGCTTCAGCATACCAAGACATTTTGGACAATTCCATGCTCCCAACTTTGTGGGAACAGTTTGGAGCTGGCCCCTTCCTCTTCCAACATGACTGTGCACCAGTGCACAAAGCAAGGTCTATAAAGACATGGATGACAGAGTCTGGTGTGGATGAACTTGACTGGCCTGCACAGAGTCCTGACCTCAACCCGATAGAACACCTTTGGGATGAATTAGAGCGGAGACTGAGAGCCAGGCCTTCTCGTCCAACATCAGTGTGCGACCTCACAAATGCGCTTCTGGAAGAATGGTCAAAAATTCCCATAAACACACTCCTAAACCTTGTGGACAGCCTTCCCAGAAGAGTTGAAGCTGTTCTAGCTGCAAAGGGTGGACCGACGTCATATTGAACCCTATGGATTAGGAACGGGATGTCACTTAAGCTCATATGTGAGTCAAGGCAGGTGAGCAAATACTTTTGGCAATATAGTGTATATATATATATATATATATATATATATATATATATATATATATATATATATATATATATATATATATATATATATATAAACTTGAGTCATGGAACTGTGCTTACAGCTCCTTATTTCATGTAAACTAATAACTTGTGTACATGATACTTGTTGATGGCATTAAAATTATTTCTAATAGCATTAAAAAAGCATTAAATTAGAGCTCCTCATTCCTGTATAAAACCTGTGAACGCTTAATTTAATCTGACATATTAAAAAAATCCCCATCATCATCCAGCAGATGTTCAGTTTCTGCTCAAATATTTTCTTTCTGTTGTGGATTTTTGTAACAGGGATAACTAGGATCATACATAGTTTGTATGAACTCTGTTTATTCTCTGCTTCCAAACTCATCATCTCTTCATCCATTCCTGCAATAAGAATTTTCTTTTAAAGTTGTGAGATTCACTCTAGAATCTCACAACTTCTTCCTGGTCTGTTGAAGCACCAATAGTCTGCATCCAATTATTTAATTAACTGCTCTTAGTTTTTGGGAATATATACAAACTATGCTCTAATTTCTAGATACCGATCCTTTTTTACTATAATTTAATTTGACAAACCGGGTCTTCTCTACATTCTTTTTTCTGTTTGGTGCGATTGCAATAGCGGGTCTTGATCTGGACGGACCGGAGGGGAGCAAAAAATAGCTCAGCTCCGTATTTTGACGGTGAAGGACGGAGAAGACGTACGTGGGCGGTGACGAGCGGAGGATGTGGAACAGCTCTCATTGATTTACATGACAGACAAGTACTCCGTACGTGAGCGGGGCGGAGCGCTGACGGAGTATGTGGAAACTGGGGGTAAAGGAGGACAAATACACGTCCGGCTGGGTGCAGCGCCGGACGCCGGACAGTGCAATGAAAATCCGGACTGTCCGCCCTAAAGCCGGACATCTGGCCACCCTACTCCCCAGACATGTTCACAAGTCATTTTTTGCAAGTCCAAGTCAAGTCTCAAGTCTTGAGAGCTCAAGTCCAAGTCAAGTCTCAAGTCTTGAGAGCTCAAGTCCAAGTCAAGTCTCAAGTCTTGAGAGCTCAAGTCCAAGTCAAGTCTCAAGTCTAGAGTAGGCCTGTTGCAATATTAAATTAATCACACAATAAATTCTAATCACATGATTAATAAAAATTATGTAGCGGCCCAGAGTAGAAATCTAAATCCTGTCCCGTCCCACTCCTGGTGAAATTACTCCCACTCCCATCCCGCTCCCATTCAGAATGACTCCCGCTCCTGCTTCACTCCCATTCTTTTTTTTTTTTTTTTGAGCGTGGGTGTAAAACTCCGAGCGGAAGCACTGTTGGTTTTTGGGTCATGTAGATTTTTTGACTCGCATTATGGTGTACGCTTCAAAAAAAACTACAAAATGGCGGCGCCGCGCCAGTACTGGATTTTTTTTCTTTCTATTTTATTTTATTTTTTGGCATCGATCCTATTTTTTTTTGTAGTTATTATTGGTTTGCTCCCGCTTCCGTCTGCTCCCGTTAATGTTTAATCCTATACCGTCCCAATCACGTGATCATTACTAATACTGACTCCCATCCCACGGGAATCCCACGGGAATCCCGTGACCCGTGGGATTCCCGAAAAAATGTCAGTCTCTAGTTTTCATCTCCTTGACTGAGACGGTATAGCTTAAAGGTCACTATTATATCTATGGAATGATCATTATCTTGAACTGGTAAGTGAAAAATACATGCTTATGGGTGATTCTCACGAACATGGTCCAACTTGTAGCAAAATTTTAAAAACATTATATACACAAAAAAACACTCACTCTTTATAAAACAGATCCTAATTTCACTTTTCACTGTAAAATTATAATCTATATGCACATTTTCTAGGTAATTTTAAACATTTTATTCTAACTTTGACCAAATAAATTCATTACCGTAACACAATTTTCATGAAGAAATTTAAAACCACAAAACCATTTTTTTCACATTTTTTGGACACCAAGGACTTCAGCGTGCACAGAGAGACAGAAATAAGCAAAAATAGGCATTTTTTTTACAAAATGTTATATTTTAATTCAAAAAATCATTTCATCACCGTAACAGTGATACAAATTTCAAAGTAAATTTTGATTGTCATTTTTTATCAAATCATTACATTGACAAACAATATAACCATAACATAAAAAGGGTCTGGCACATTTCATCAAGGGATGAATATAAAAGTAATTCACATAACTAATCTAAATAAATCCTCAAACAGTTAACATAGCGGTAATGAAAAAACACATGTCGGTAATGAAAAACAATGTTTCGGTAGTGAACCCTTCATAACTACATTAATATTTAACTACCCAAACAATAAAATACGCTAGTAAAACATATATTTTTAAAATGTTAAGTTTATTAAGTTGACACACAAACTGAACAGAAAAATAGTCCCATATTTTTGCCAGCCATTTCAGGCAATGAAACAGTTTACCCTGTTTTCAGCAGAGGAAAAGCAGCTGATGTCTTCATCAAATGGCCCAGTAATCTGAGCAACGAAATTGTGTGGGGAAAGGTAAGACTCAATTGATATCAAATCAAATTCAGAAAATGACCCTGAACTACTGATAAAGGGAGACATAAAAAGATGTGGTGATGGGTTTTTTTTGTTCCTAGATGATTTGTGACCTTTTTTGTGACTCTCTTTTTCCTTCTAGGTCTGGCCTGATTTACCAGGCGTCATAGTTAATGAAAGTCTTGACTGCCACTTAGACACTTAGATTTAATATACATAGGCTACATAAAAAAACAAAATATTCATTAATTTTAATAATTAATTGGACTTTCTTTTTGTACTTGGCCCAGATTTCTGACACCACACAGAAGTGTCTTGCGGATGAAGAGGTAGGCAGTGGTTCAGGAATAATTTCTTTGATGTCATCCAAATAATACCATACCTTCTCACCAGCAAACCTTATTGATGGTATGTAGAAGCGATTGTCTCCCGCACAGCTCATTGTATCAACCTCATACTGACCACTGGCAATCTGGATTAATGAAGCAAAAAAATGTTATCAACTGTGTTTTTCAAAGACAATTTGATTATTACATAATCATTACCCTGATATTACATGTTGACAATCTGAATCCAATACTTGCACACCTGACTTCCCATTCTCTACTCAGTCTTAAACCTACCTGTGTTACTGTGCCAGGATAGAGGTCTCCGTCATAGTCCACAAGGACCCATGTTCCTACTTTGATGGTCTCTTCAGATTCCCTTTGCGTGAAAACAAACTCCTTTGGAGAGAAGCAGTCACAAGAGTGACTACAGAAGCACGAAACTTCTCGAAATCTAATATTTCCTGGTTCAGTAGCAACAACCTGTGGAGACATTATGTTTAGTTTTATCTGCAAAACCATGAAAAGGTCAGATCTATAAAAAGAAATATTTTCTTTGAAATGCAAACTTACAACAAAAAATAGAGAAAAAATTGAAACCAAGCTAAAAAAAAAAAAAAGCCAGGCAAAAAAAAATGAGTGTGCATTTGTTTAGTTGCACATATGGGTGCTCACCTGGTGTATTTTCATAGTTCCTGGGACTGATTTCAGGAATGGAGGAACGAGTTCCCCACATGCAGCAATATTATCCTCTGTTACTTCAAAAAGCCTAACAGATGAGTGCTTTGCCAGATTCTCTAGTAGAGCAGAAGCATTTGGGATGTCTGTGCCATAGGCCACCACACGATCTGCAAGGTTTTTAAGAGCACCTCCTACTCCATCAGGAGCTCCCTTCCCATGAGAGGCCTCAGTGAAGTTCCACGTCACAGTCTTAAACCCTTTCATAAAAGGCACTGTGGACGCAAGGTAGAATGCTACCTTATTCCGATATTGAGATGTTGGTCCATCGGACAGGAAGTGGATATTTTTTGCCAGGGGGTAGTTAGATGTTATGTATCCTAAAACTGGTTGCAAATGTGCCCATGTAGCAACAGCATCGTGCTGTAAACTGGCAGACACAGTAGCAAAGGACTCAGCCTGACCACCAGTGTAGTATAACACCCCTGTATGGAGTGTGACTTGCTGGTGGGATCCACCAAAGTGAGCGTCTTTTATTTCCTTGCTCCATTTGCAGGTGTAGTTTTCACTGTAATCAACATGGACTACAACATCATGCTGGGTCAAATTTTCTTTCAATTGCTTAAGATGAGTGAACTGGTGCCAAATGTTATACAAATGAGTAGATATCCGGGGCAGTTCTGACTTGGTTAGCTCTACAAGTTTTTCAATAGTGGCCACTTTTTTCTCCAGGGTGGTGGTTTTCATGTCAATCTCCGTGGTAGTGCCATTTTGCAGTTTCTTTTTTATTGGTGTTGACCTTGTTGTCTACTCAGTCCAAGATATAATGTTGTTTTTTGTAGTTGGATCCATGTTGACAGGGAAAGTAATATCTTTGCAGGCTTCACATCTACCATACATGCAATCAATGTTTTCCCGAATCACAGACAGATGAAGCCACTACATCAGTAATAGATACTGTATGTATCAATCCGAGATGGTGCATTTTTTTAATTTTATTTGAAAAATTCTCATGTATTTTGCAGGCACATGTTTCCCTATCAGTGATCTTTGGTCGCACTATCCAGAAGGGCCTCAGCTTAAAAAACTGGGAGCGGGACACATTGAGGCCTGGGTTCTCTTTAAGAAATCTCTTGTGGAGATTTTCCATGGTGTCTGAGAGGAACCTCTTCCTATAAATTTGTCCACCCTTCCTGACTTCCCCAAGTTTACCATTTATTAATGTGGACACATCGTCTCTGTTCAGGAACAGTCTGACATTGTCACTCATCCTTCTTCTTTGGTTTCTCTCACCCTGCTTCTTGCGGTTCTCTCTCCTCTGTTTGGCTCGACTTGCAAGAAGAACTGTGGACCTGTTTTCCTCCATTCGTTTAATTTTTTTTTTCAGGCAATCTAGTTCCTTTTTCTTGTTACTAAGAATTTGTTGTGCCTTCCTCAGTTTTTCTCTTAATTTGGCTGTTTTTTTTTTCCGCTTTGGAGTTGATGTTGCAGATGGATTAGAGTTCACGGTCTTTGGTTGGATTAATCTTTTACAAAGTTGTGGTTGAGGCTGAGGGTTGATTTGATTCACACTGTCATCTGAGGGAGGGGTTTCATTTAGTATGTGTTTAACTGTTTGCTTCTTTTTATTATATCGATTAGAATTTTCCCTCCATTTTTTTCGCTGTTTCTGCAGCTGCCTGGGTGTCAGATCTGCAGCTGCCTTTAACAACCCTTTTTCCTTGCGCTTCTGATACCTGTTAAAATAAGATATCAATAGGAACATTTGTGAGACAGCAAAGTTAGCAAAGTCTGTACTGTATTTGTACAGTGTGAGCGTGAAAAACAGAATAGAAGGAGAGACGAGAAAGAGGGAAAAAGAGCGGGAAAGGGGAAGAGAGGGAGAAAGAGAGACACTACCTTTCCCTTTCCTTTCTTCTATACTCCTCTAGAAGGTCTGGATTGTTATAAATCTTCTGCCTATGTTTTTCCACCCTAGCTCTTGATGCCGCCCTCTTCTGTTCACTTCCTTTTGCCCTTCATATTAGGTGATATCAATTAGCATAAATTAGCTTAGAAATTTAGCCTAAAAAATTGAAAGTATAATAAACAACATTACAGTTTAAATAACCTATACATTTATCTATTTATTATTGCAAAATGACACTGTTCATCACCGTAATCTTGTTTCTCATTACCGCAACAGGCCTCAGATTACGCGGTAATGAAAGTTATGCATTACGGTAATGAATGACATCCACATGTGCTAGCTTAAAATTCTAGCATGTCGTGATGACTCAGTTAAACTTTTCTCACAAACAGTGTGAACTCTCTAACTTCTTCTGTACAAGAAATCATCTTATTAACAACTTTTTAAGAACATGAGGTATTCTACATTACGGTAATGATAACCTGTAGTGTAAAAATAGGCATATGGAAGGAGAAACTTAAGAGTTGTCATGATCTAAAGATGTCAAACAATCTTACCTTGTAGCCATCTTTGTCTTCTCTTCTTTGTGGTGCATCATGGGTCAGAAAAACTTTATTTAAAAAAGTGCTGTGAATATTACAGGACTTTGAACACGGTGCAACGGTAATGAGAGTTGAACCTCCGGACACTCACTTTTATTACAATATTCTGAATTACTTAACAGGAAATTATTATATATTATCATATTTTATTAATTTATGTATATTTAAACAAATTCATAATATTTTTTTATAAACCTGCTTGATTATTCATAATAATAAATTGAGGCGAAATAATTTTTTTCCCCTTAGGACACATTACGGTAATGAATTTGTGACTTCAAAAACAGTTAAAAAACATTAAAAAATTTATTTTGGTAGCCAACAATGATCTGTCCCAAATATTAGAAATAATGATTGTCCAAATAAAAGTGGATTATTTTAATTTTTTTATGAGTATGACCCTAAAATTTTCTAAGACATTCAATAGGTTGGGTTCGTGAGAATCACCCTTATATGTCACGTAGCATTGCGTCAGTGACGTCAGTGCTACATGACTGACAGCCCCTCTGCCGTTTTTTTTTTTTTAACCTCTACTGTGTGCGGGTAAGGCGAGCGGCGATCAGTCAAGTTAGTAAAACAAAAAACACTTAAGAAATAAAATATTGATCACAAGTCGGAAATCGCCAGTCTCGGGCGAGTCTGAAGTCCTTAAAATGCATGTCTAAGTCGAGTCAGAAGTCATTAAATATGTGACTTGTGTGCGACTCGAGTACGAGTCACAAACTCGAGTCCCCACCTCTGCCTTACATACACCTCCCTCAGCCACTCTTTCTTCATCTCCTCATCCATCCAGCCCTTTTATTTGCCTTAATAACGACTCCAGCTGGAAAAGTCTCTTTAGGCAAAGTCTTTCTCTTAAAAATCACCATAGGCGACAGTTTCTGTCCTTTTGCGTGGCAGCCAAGCACAACAGTAAACAACGCCTTTTCATACCCCATTGTATGTATCGCCACCGTGCTTTTTCCCTTACTTCTCCACCGTGTGATTCACCGGGATGTCGAAAGTGAGCTGCACCTCGTCCATGTTGGTGATGTGGCTTGGCTGGATGCGTTTGTCGGTGATGTGTTTGCTGCAGTAGGAGTGGAAGCTCGCCAGCTTTTCATTATAATCCGCCAGACGTTGCGGCGCTACTGTAGTCCTGGTCCAGATGGAAAAATGGCACCGTTTCATAAAACCAAAGCACCACGACGGACCTCCTTGAAAATGTTAAATTTTCCTTTCTTCCGCTAGCGTTACTGCTTTTAGTCGAACAGTGACCGTCAAAACGCTCGCCCCACTCGTTCTTTGCTCGATGATCCGCCGCTCGAGTCTTTCCTCCAAACCGGGCCACCTCGCCTTAAGTCCGCGGAAACTCAGCTGCGTCTTCTTCATCTGTCGGAGTTCTTTTTCCATCTTCCTCCACTTGCAAACCATCGATTCATTAATCTTGAATTCTCTCGCGGCTGCTCGATTTCCATGTTCCTCTGCGTAGCTGATAGCCTTCAGTTAGCCTTCCGCAGTAACGACACACATAAGGGGCCGCACTATAGGGCGAGCCACACATTTTGAGGGGGATAAAAGACGTTTATATGCGCCTTATAGTCGCAAAAATACGGTAAAAGTAATAGTGTAAGCTGCTTATTTCAGCAGCATTACAAAAACAAATGCTAAAATTATGCTTCATATGAAAAAATTGCGACTATTTTACTTTTTAACAAGTTAACTTTACAATTCTCTATTTCTTTATCATGTAGCTCTTACTTTAGACATGTTTCTTTAATAGTATTTAGTTTAACCATCAGCAAACTTAAAGGTTTCTAGAACTTTCTCCAATAAATCACACAGAAAACAATGCAGAGTTTTAAAAAAACTCAGTTCTCACATCTTTCATGTTCAAAGCTTCAAATTCAATGTTGGTCAGTTTCTTGGAGACTTTAAATCTTCTTAGAGATGAAGAAGTCGTCAAAAAAGGTGCATTCACCAGTGAGGTCTGAGAAAATGTCATTATTTTCCGTTGGTTGTTGTTCTTTGTTTTTAAATGAAACCATAGCAACCATGGAATTCTGTGCATGTTTTAAATTGTGTGTTACAGTATGTAGGATATTTAGAAAAAAGGCTAATAGCCTGTTAGCACTGTTAGCACCTTAAACTCACTATGCAAGGAAGATCAATGCATAGTTTGACTTGGTCTAGAAACCCAAAAGGACACGTTACGTGGTGTTTGGTTCACATTAAGGAAATTCTGAAATTCTTGATTTGTCTTTAAACCTGCCAAATGCAGCCTTATATTTCCGATTAAGCTTCAGACTTCCAGCTTTTTAAAAGAAGCAGGTTTAAAGTCGTAGGGAAGTCATTAAAATTTCTAAACTTTTTAAAAGAAGTGTTTGGATCTGGAGATTCTCCACCTTCTCCAGCAGAGTGCGCTGTGGATCCTCCTGGACTGGAGCCCTCCAACACAACTGACGTTCATCAGCTCATCAGGAGACCGGCATTTATAAGCAGCTGCCAGACCTTCCTTCGACGCCGCAGTGTTAGCCAAGTTTGGTTAGCGAACCTGAGCCTCTGAATTTACTAATCGTTATCTTCTTAGAGAAACCTAATTCTAATTGCCTCTGTCTTCTCTTTCCTAGGAAACCAGTCTCTTGAGAGAAGCTCTGGATGAGCTTAACCTGTGCCTGCCTGCCTGCCCTAGAGAGCCAAACCTGAAGACCTCACTCTGGAATCCACTAGCTGCTCTTTGGGAAAGAGCTAATCACTCAAACCAAGGTCTTTTCACTGGAGGTCAGAAGCTAGACGCTGCAGCTGCTCAAGCACTCTGCTGAACCAACAATCTCTGGACCCAACCGGTTCCCTCTCTCTGAACTAGCCTGGACCTCTTCAAGGTATCCACTGAAATATCTGATAACCCATTTTACTCATCTGCAAACCAAGCTAACCAACTATCCGTCTCTGCAGACGACAGAGAATCCTGCCCGGACCAGAACCTGAATCTTGTTTTTGTCTTTTGTGTGAAACTTCAATAAACTCTGTTAAATCTTTTTACCAAGTCTCCAGTGGTGTTCTGCATGTGGGTTTATCTCTAAACCGATCATGACAAGAAGCAGGTTTAAAGTCGTGGGGAAGTCATTAAAATTTAAAATCATTCTGGCTTAAACGTGTATATAAATGTACTCTTCATCAGACAATATTGTCCCAAAAGTTCGAAAATTTCTATTTAAGAAAAAAATCCTGTCTTAGAATCTGTGTTGTTTTTTCCTTTTATTTTATGCATGCCAGTTAGTTATACATCAGCTTCTTCACCTAAATTCAACCAATCATTTATCAACAGACATCTGTCAATAAAGTTTTTTTGTACATGGCATCTTGATTCATAGCTAATATACGCAACGCACTGGCGTAACTTTCTGATGGACTGGTGTGGACATGTCCCCACCAGAATTTAAAATGGGTGGGGACAGTCCCCCACCAATAATTTGTACATTTGTGTTCGGCTCATTTACTCTAGCCAACAAGAGTAACCTCAGGATGCGCCCGGCTGTGTTTGTTCTTAGAGTTTTCAGTCAGCTTTTCTGTCTCGCTATTCCGCTGCTCCTTAGTCCCGCCTACTGATATAACATCATTGGATCCTATGTCCATGGCTCCACATCTGTCGCTTTATGATAGAACATGATTGGCTGTCGCTATTCACCGCGTCATCAGTAGCTACGTGATTGGAGGAGAGACGACACACAGTAGCACTCATTGATATTAACCAAACTTAGACTTCCTGTATTGTCATTGCATAAAGACACAGGAGGTGAATCTTGACAACGAAATGACGATTACTTGGCTACCAGTGTAGCTACCTCTGCGTAGCTGATAGCCTTCAGTTAGCCTTCCGCAGTAACAACACACATAAGGGGCCGCACTATAGGGCGAGCCACACATTTTGAGGGGAATAAAAGACGTTTATATGCGCTTTATAGTCGCGAAAATACGGTAAAAGTAATAGTGTAAGCTGCTTATTTCAGCAGCATTACAAAAACAAATGCTAAAATTATGCTTCATATGAAAAAATTGCGACTATTTTATTTTTTAACAAGCTAACTTTACAATTCTCTATTTCTTTATCATGTAACTCTTACTTTAGACATGTTTCTTTAATAGTATTTAGTTTAACCATCAGCAAACTTAAAAGTTTCTAGAACTTTCTCCAATAAATCACACAGAAAACAATGCAGAGTTTTAGAAAACTCAGTTCTCACATCTTTCATGTTCAAAGCTTCAAATTCAACGTTGGTCAGTTTCTTGGAGACTTTAAATCTTCTTAGAGATGAAGAAGTCGTCAAAAAAGGTGCATTCGCCGAGTGAGGTCTGAGAAAATGCCGTAATTTTCCGTTGGTTGTTCTTTGTTTTTTAATGAAACCATAGCAACCATGGAATTCTGTGCATGTTTTAAATTGTGTGTTACAGTATGTTAGCATATTTAGAAAAAAGGCTAATAGCCTGTTAGCACTGTTAGCACCTTAAACTCACTATGCAAGGAAGATCAATGCATAGTTTGACTTGGTCTAGAAACCCAAAAGGACACGTTACGTGGTGTTTGGTTCACATTAAGGAAATTCTGAAATTCTTGATTTGTCTTTAAACCTGCCAAATGCAGCCTTATATTTCCGATTAAGCTTCAGACTTCCAGCTTTTTAAAAGAAGCAGGTTTAAAGTCGTAGGGAAGTCATTAAAATTTCAAATCATTCTGGCTTAAACGTGTATATAAATGTACTCTTCATCAGACAATATTGTCCCAAAAGTTCGAAAATTTCTATTTAAGAAAAAAATCCTGTCTTAGAATCGGTGGTGTTTTTTTTTCCTTTTATTTTATGCATGCCAGTTAGTTATACATCAGCTTCTTCACCTAAATTCAACCAATCATTTATCAACAGACAT